CCGTCAACCTTTATAGACAAATTATACTTATATCAAGTCCAAATATCCACTTATATCAAGACAAATCAACTTGTATAACAACAATTCAGAGAACAACACTCGCAGCACAATTAGTAGGTATAACCTGTAATATTTGATCAGTAACATTAACTATGATCGGTACACAATAGTTACTGTTCAAATTTAATCATTTACCTATTATACAGTACAGCATTAATTTACCACAAAATTACTGGCAAAATACTGTATTTAAGTTGAACTGAACCCCCTCCCCCCTAAAAATACCCCATTTGTTGGTACAGTTCCTGCCTTTTCCAGTATTGTATTTTTAAAACGTATATACAGTACACTCGCACCGAGCGCGAGGTGGCCGACGGGAAGTGTCTGGAACCCCTCCGTGCCAGCAAGCTGGGGCCGAGGCAGGCATTGCATGGTATGTCTGGCAGCGTAGGAAGACTAGAGGAAAAGCCAGTCAGCCAGCATTAAAAGAGTTCACCAGTTGCCCTCATATTAACACAATTACCAAGATTTAAAATCGTGTAAAGTACCTTAGTATGAAATTTAAACTACTTTCTTACAAATCCTGGAGACTAAGGGATTTAGGTCAAGCTTATTTTTGGAAAAATCAATATTTTGACAACGTGAAAACTAACTTCTTCGTATCGTAAAGATGGTCTACATATTTAAGAATACCCTGTATCTATAAAGGCTTTTTAAAACCTACAAACAAAGCATACTTTAAATATGTAATTATTTCAAAATAAGTTAACAATTACTCTAATTTTTTTTTAAAGGTGAACAAATCCTTAAACAAAACTAAAACCACAACGACAGCTACAGTACTGTAGGCCTACTTTAAGTTATAGCAGAATGTTTCCGATTTTGTGCAACAACAGTTCCGTTAACAGAAACTAACAGTCTTGTGTACTCGTCTTCACGGTCCTCGAAAGAATAATATTGTAACTAAAAATTAAGTAATGTAGTCTTTGTACAACTGTAATGCAATAAAATAAGAACACACATCTACAGTACGTCTCTATAGCCAAAATATATACCAAATCTTGTGAAGTACGTCCGAATAAACACTTAAAATATTTAACATTAAATCTTCGTGAACATGAAATTAACCACAATTAACACATACCGCATAGGAACAGGGTTGCCACATGTACGACAAGCTTCACGGCCAAATCTTTTTGGATGGAAAGCACAAAGATATTTTTGCAATCCACACAAAATAAAAATCTCCCCCACAATATGCACTTAAAATGTCGCAATCAAACAAAATTTTCACTTATAATTAAGAGCCCAATAATTACATAAACATAATATCTGTAATCTACAGTGAAGATTTACCATAAACTCAAATGGTGGTGGAGCATGATAATGGTGGAGTCCAGTTCGTCACCGTCCCCTGGTTCTTCCTTCTCGTACGTGATTGCAGAGTTAAATAGCTCCACCATGTGTGGTGTTACTTTCAAATCTGCAACATTTTCCTTGGAACTGGAGCATTTTCACTTCCATCACTGGCTATACTAACACAGACGAATTTTTCTTCCCATAATTTGTTATATTTTCTACCACTGTCGTAAGACACTTTGCAAAAACTAATCATTTTGAAAACTATCAATCAGAATTTCAGAAAGTAACTCAGATGGCTTTGTAAACTATAAAGCAGGGGTTCTCAACCAGGGGGAATTTCCCCCCTCAGGTTTTCAGAGACGGGGGAAAACTGATACTAATATGGAAATAATAAAGGATTTTCAGTATTATATGCATATTATTTGGAATGCACTTTTTGAGGCAGACAATCTTGGAAAGGAGGGGGGAATGACATTCTGACATATGGTGAAAAGAGTGCATGAGGCAAACAAGGTTGAGAACCACTGCTATAAAGCTTAACCCATATGCTGGACACGTTCAGTCTGAACAACTCAAATATGAGAACTAACAACTAAGGCAGTAACTAGTAAGGACAGTCACCTTTCAATTGAGAAATTTGAAAATCTGTTAGACATGTCTTCAAAATCCACTAGATGAGGTATTAACACAAAATTCGGCCAAATAGTTTGGCCGTGACCAACCACTTTCCACGGCCGAAGTAGAAAAATTTGACAACTAGTCTTAGCGAGTCCCAGAGATAACCGATTCGAGTAAGTGACAGCAACAACGTCGTGGACCCCCCTCCTTCCCACCCACCGCACACCACTTCGTCCGAATGATTAACTATAATACAAACTTCATCGTATATACAAATTTAAACTATACACACTTTGGCTTCTACATTAGATATAATTACTTTGCCTAAACTACTATTCATGTAGCCTTACCACAGTAGCAGTATAAAATCTAACCTTACATGAGCCACTCTTTCTATAACAAATAAATATCCATTCTTGAAACTTATGAATACAACAAATTTTGCTCATAATTCTCTTCCAACAGGTTATGCAAGTCAGGAATATTGTACAACAATAGTTATGCTCACCTGTATAAGACTTCAGCCAATGTCAAATAGCCAAGAATGCTCTTACTGAAATAAAAAATAAAAACGTCAACATTTATAGAAAAATTATTAAAATTTACCCTTGTACAAGACTTTCTTTTTTCCCCAAAAATGTATCGCAAATTACCCTTCGTCTAATGCGCCGTACGCGTAGGTGACTAGCTAGCAAGTCTGAGACGAGCAGTAGTCTACTAAGCACAAACATTACGTTCCTAATATTACTGAAAAACAAACAAAATTATCACAAACTTACGGCAAATTGGACGAAGATGTAAATAATGGCTTAAAAGCAGAGGGAACCTCACAGTATTCACCAATAAAACTATTTCTTTTTAACTATGGTAAATTTAATTTATGCTCACCTGTATATTGTATATAAAGGCTTCAGCCAAGGTCAAATATCCTACAAAGGTCATCCACCTCCCACTCAAATCTGAAATAAGTCATTAAACCGTCAACCTTTATAGACAAATTATACTTATATCAAGTCCAAATATCCACTTATATCAAGACAAATCAACTTGTATAACAACAATTCAGAGAACAACACTCGCAGCACAATTAGTAGGTATAACCTGTAATATTTGATCACTAACATTAACTATGATCGGTACACAATAGTTACTGTTCAAGTTTAATCATTTACCTATTATACAGTACAGCATTAATTTAGCACAAAATTACTGGCAAAATACTATATTTAAGTTGAACTGAACCCCCTCCCCCCTAAAAATACCCCATTTGTTGGTACAGTTCCTGCCTTTTCCAGTATTGTATTTTTAAAACGTATATACACTCGCACCGAGCGCGAGGTGGCCGACGGGAAGTGATATTGCAAGTGTCTCGAACCCCTCCGTGCCAGCAAGCTGGGGCCGAGGCAGGCATTGCATGGTATGTCTGGCAGCGTAGGAAGACTAGAGGAAAAGCCAGTCAGCCAGCATTAAAAGAGTTCACCAGTTGCCCTCATATTAACACAATTACCAAGATTTAAAATCGTGTAAAGTACCTTAGTATGAAATTTAAACTACTTTCTTACAAATGCTGGAGACTAAGGGATTTAGGTCAAGCTTATTTTTGGAAAAATCAATATTTTGACAACGTGAAAACTAACTTCTTCGTATCGTAAAGATGGTCTACATATTTAAGAATACCCTGTATCTATAAAGGCTTTTTAAAACCTACAAGCAAAGCATACTTTAAATATGTAATTATTTCAAAATAAGTTAACAATTACTCTATTTTTTTTTTAAAGGTGAACAAATCCTTAAACAAAACTAAAACCACAACGACAGCTACAGTACTGTAGGCCTACTATAAGTTATAGCAGAATGTTTCCGATTTTGTGCAACAACAGTTCCGTTAACGGAAACTAACAGTCTTGTGTACTCGTCTTCACGGTCCTCGAATGAATAATATTGTAACTAAAAATTAAGTAATGTAGTCTTTGTACAACTGTAATGCAATAAAATAAGAACACACATCTACAGTACGTCTCTATAGCCAAAATATATACCAAATCTTGTGAAGTACGTCCGAATAAACACTTAACATATTTAACATTAAATCTTCGTGAACATGAAATTAACCACAATTAACACATACCGCATAGGAACAGGGTTGCCACATGTACGACAAGCTTCACGGCCAAATCTTTTTGGATGGAAAGCACCAAGATATTTTTGCAATCCACACAAAATAAAAATATCCCCCACAATATGCACTTAAAATGTCGCAATCAAACAAAATTTTCACTTATAATTCAGAGCCCAATAATTACATAAACATAATATCTGTAATCTACAGTGAAGATTTACCATAAACTCAAATGGTGGTGGAGCATGATAATGGTGGAGTCCAGTTCGTCACCGTCCCCTGGTTCTTCCTTCTCGTACGTGATTGCAGAGTTAAATAGCTCCACCATGTGTGGTGTTACTTTCAAATCTGCAACATTTTCCTTGGAACTGGAGCATTTTCACTTCCATCACTGGCTATACTAACACAGACGAATTTTTCTTCCCATAATTTGTTATATTTTCTACCACTGTCGTAAGACACTTTGCAAAAACTAATCATTTTGAAAACTATCAATCAGAATTTCAGAAAGTAACTCAGATGGCTTTGTAAACTATAAAGCAGGGGTTCTCAACCAGGGTGAATTTCCCCCCTCAGGTTTTCAGAGACGGGGGAAAACTGATACTAATATGGAAATAATAAAGGATTTTCAGTATTATATGCATATTATTTGGAATGCAATTTTTGAGGCAGACAATCTTGGAAAGGAGGGGGGAATGACATTCTGACATATGGTGAAAAGAGTGCATGGGGCAAACAAGGTTGAGAACCACTGCTATAAAGCTTAACCCATATGCTGGACACGTTTCAATTGAGAAATTTGAAAATCTGTTAGACATGTCTTCAAAATCCACTAGATGAGGTATTAACACAAAATTCGGCCAAATAGTTTGGCCGTGACCAACCACTTTCCACGGCCGAAGTAGAAAAATTTGACAACTAGTCTTAGCGAGTCCCAGAGATAACTGATTCGAGTAAGTGACAGCAACAACGTCGTGGACCCCCCTCCTTCTTCTTCTCTTCTTCTTCACTGTAATACATCGTAACATATTAAACTATACACACTTTGGCTTCTACATTAGATATAATTACTTTGCCTAAACTACTATTCATGTAGCCTTACCACAGTAGTAGTATAAAATCTAACCTTACATGAGCCACTCTTTCTATAATAATTAAATATCCATTCTTGAAACTTATGAATACAACAAATTTTGCTCATAATTCTCTTCCAACAGGTTATGCAAGTCAGGAACATTGTACAACAATAGTTATGCTCACCTTTATAAGACTTCAGCCAATGTCAAATAGCCAAGAATGCTCTTCCACCTCCCACACACTTCTGAAATAAAAAATAAACACGTCAACATTTATAGAAAAATTATTAAAATTTGCCCTTGTACAAGACTTTCTTTTTTCCCCAAAAATGTATCGCAAATTACCCTTCGTCTAATGCGCCGTAGGCGTAGGTGACTAGCTAGCAAGTCTGAGACGAGCAGTAGTATACTAAGCACAAACATTACGTTCCTAATATTACTGAAAAACAAACAAAATTATCACAAACTTACGGCAAATTGGACGAAGATGTAAATAATGGCTTAACAGCAGAGGGAACCTCACAGTATTCACCAATAAAACTATTTCTTTTTAACTATGGTAAATTTAATTTATGCTCACCTGTATATTGTATATAAAGGCTTCAGCCAAGGTCAAATACCCTACAAAGGTCATCCACCTCCCACTCAAATCTGAAATAAGTCATTAAACCGTCAACCTTTATAGACAAATTATACTTATATCAAGTCCAAATATCCACTTATATCAGAACAAATCAACTTGTATAACAACAATTCAGAGAACAACCCTCGCAGCACAATTAGTAGGTATATAACCTGTAATATTTGATCACTAACATTAACTATGATCGGTACACAATAGTTACTGTTCAAATTTAATCATTTACCTATTATACAGTACAGCATTAATTTAGCACAAAATTACTGGCAAAATACTATATTTAAGTTGAACTGAACCCCCTCCCCCCTAAAAATACCCCATTTGTTGGTACAGTTCCTGCCTTTTCCAGTATTGTATTTTTAAAACGTATATACAGTACACTCGCACCGAGCGCGAGGTGGCCGACGGGAAGTGATATTGCAAGTGTCTCGAACCCCTCCGTGCCAGCAAGCTGGGGCCGAGGCAGGCATTGCATGGTATGTCTGGCAGCGTAGGAAGACTAGAGGAAAAGTCAGTCAGCCAGCATTAAAAGAGTTCACCAGTTGCCCTCATATTAACACAATTACCAAGATTTAAAATCGTGTAAAGTACCTTAGTATGAAATTTAAACTACTTTCTTACAAATGCTGGAGACTAAGGGATTTAGGTCAAGCTTATTTTTGGAAAAATCAATATTTTGACAACGTGAAAACTAACTTCTTCGTATCGTAAAGATGGTCTACATATTTAAGAATACCCTGTATCTATAAAGGCTTTTTAAAACCTACAAGCAAAGCATACTTTAAATATGTAATTATTTCAAAATAAGTTAACAATTACTCTATTTTTTTTTTAAAGGTGAACAAATCCTTAAACAAAACTAAAACCACAACGACAGCTACAGTACTGTAGGCCTACTTTAAGTTATAGCAGAATGTTTCCGATTTTGTGCAACAACAGTTCCGTTAACGGAAACTAACAGTCTTGTGTACTCGTCTTCACGGTCCTCGAATGAATAATATTGTAACTAAAAATTAAGTAATGTAGTCTTTGTACAACTGTAATGCAATAAAATAAGAACACACATCTACAGTACGTCTCTATAGCCAAAATATATACCAAATCTTGTGAAGTACGTCCGAATAAACACTTAAAATATTTAACATTAAATCTTCGTGAACATGAAATTAACCACAATTAACACATACCGCATAGGAACAGGGTTGCCACATGTACGACAAGCTTCACGGCCAAATCTTTTTGGATGGAAAGCACAAAGATATTTTGCAATCCACACAAAATAAAAATCTCCCCCACAATATGCACTTAAAATGTCGCAATCAAACAAAATTTTCACTTATAATTCAGAGCCCAATAATTACATAAACATAATATCTGTAATCTACAGTGAAGATTTACCGTAAACTCAAATGGTGGTGGAGCATGATAATGGTGGAGTCCAGTTCGTCACCGTCCCCTGGTTCTTCCTTCTCGTACGTGATTGCAGAGTTAAATAGCTCCACCATGTGTGGTGTTACTTTCAAATCTGCAACATTTTCCTTGGAACTGGAGCATTTTCACTTCCATCACTGGCTATACTAACACAGACGAATTTTTCTTCCCATAATTTGTTATATTTTCTACCACTGTCGTAAGACACTTTGCAAAAACTAATCATTTTGAAAACTATCAATCAGAATTTCAGAAAGTAACTCAGATGGCTTTGTAAACTATAAAGCAGGGGTTCTCAACCAGGGTGAATTTCCCCCCTCAGGTTTTCAGAGACGGGGGAAAACTGATACTAATATGGAAATAATAAAGGATTTTCAGTATTATATGCATATTATTTGGAATGCAATTTTTGAGGCAGACAATCTTGGAAAGGAGGGGGGAATGACATTCTGACATATGGTGAAAAGAGTGCATGGGGCAAACAAGGTTGAGAACCACTGCTATAAAGCTTAACCCATATGCTGGACACGTTTCAATTGAGAAATTTGAAAATCTGTTAGACATGTCTTCAAAATCCACTAGATGAGGTATTAACACAAAATTCGGCCAAATAGTTTGGCCGTGACCAACCACTTTCCACGGCCGAAGTAGAAAAATTTGACAACTAGTCTTAGCGAGTCCCAGAGATAACTGATTCGAGTAAGTGACAGCAACAACGTCGTGGACCCCCCTCCTTCTTCTTCTTCACTGTAATACATCGTAACATATTAAACTATACACACTTTGGCTTCTACATTAGATATAATTACTTTGCCTAAACTACTATTCATGTAGCCTTACCACAGTAGTAGTATAAAATCTAACCTTACATGAGCCACTCTTTCTATAATAATTAAATATCCATTCTTGAAACTTATGAATACAACAAATTTTGCTCATAATTCTCTTCCAACAGGTTATGCAAGTCAGGAACATTGTACAACAATAGTTATGCTCACCTTTATAAGACTTCAGCCAATGTCAAATAGCCAAGAATGCTCTTCCACCTCCCACACACTTCTGAAATAAAAAATAAACACGTCAACATTTATAGAAAAATTATTAAAATTTACCCTTGTACAAGACTTTCTTTTTTCCCCAAAAATGTATCGCAAATTACCCTTCGTCTAATGCGCCGTACGCGTAGGTGACTAGCTAGCAAGTCTGAGACGAGCAGTAGTCTACTAAGCACAAACATTACGTTCCTAATATTACTGAAAAACAAACAAAATTATCACAAACTTACGGCAAATTGGACGAAGATGTAAATAATGGCTTAAAAGCAGAGGGAACCTCACAGTATTCACCAATAAAACTATTTCTTTTTAACTATGGTAAATTTAATTTATGCTCACCTGTATATTGTATATAAAGGCTTCAGCCAAGGTCAAATACCCTACAAAGGTCATCCACCTCCCACTCAAATCTGAAATAAGTCATTAAACCGTCAACCTTTATAGACCAATTATACTTATATCAAGTCCAAATATCCACTTATATCAGAACAAATCAACTTGTATAACAACAATTCAGAGAACAACCCTCACAGCACAATTAGTAGGTATAACCTGTAATATTTGATCACTAACATTAACTATGATCGGTACACAATAGTTACTGTTCAAATTTAATCATTTACCTATTATACAGTACAGCATTAATTTAGCACAAAATTACTGGCAAAATACTATATTTAAGTTGAACTGAACCCCCTCCCCCCTAAAAATACCCCATTTGTTGGTACAGTTCCTGCCTTTTCCAGTATTGTATTTTTAAAACGTATATACACTCGCACCGAGCGCGAGGTGGCCGACGGGAAGTGATATTGCAAGTGTCTCGAACCCCTCCGTGCCAGCAAGCTGGGGCCGAGGCAGGCATTGCATGGTATGTCTGGCAGCGTAGGAAGACTAGAGGAAAAGTCAGTCAGCCAGCATTAAAAGAGTTCACCAGTTGCCCTCATATTAACACAATTACCAAGATTTAAAATCGTGTAAAGTACCTTAGTATGAAATTTAAACTACTTTCTTACAAATGCTGGAGACTAAGGGATTTAGGTCAAGCTTATTTTTGGAAAAATCAATATTTTGACAACGTGAAAACTAACTTCTTCGTATCGTAAAGATGGTCTACATATTTAAGAATACCCTGTATCTATAAAGGCTTTTTAAAACCTACAAGCAAAGCATACTTTAAATATGTAATTATTTCAAAGTAAGTTAACAATTACTCTATTTTTTTTTTTAAAGGTGAACAAATCCTTAAACAAAACTAAAACCACAACGACAGCTACAGTACTGTAGGCCTACTATATAAGTTATGGCAGAATGTTTCCGTTTTAACGACAACAGTTCCGTTAGCGAAACTAACAGTCTCGATGTGCACCAATATTACGGTCCTCGAATGAATAATATTGTAACTAAGAATTAAGTAATGTAGTCTTTGTGCAACTGTAATGCAATAAAATAAGAACACATCGGTATCTACAATAAAATATACCAAATCTTACGTCATCCGAATAAACACTTGAAATATTTAACATTATTAAATCTTCGTGAACATAAATTAACCACAATTAACTTTTACGCATGGGAACAGGGTTGCCATGTCACGACAAGCTTCGCAAATCTTTTTGAATGGAAAGCACAAGGCTATTTTTGCAATCCACACAAAATAAAAGTATCCCCTACAATATCCACTTAAAATGTCGTAATATAACCAAATTTTCACTTAGAATTGAGAGCCCAATGATTACATAAACATAATACCTATAATCTACAGTGAAGATTTACCTTAATCTGAAATGGTGGTGGAGCATGATAATGGTGAGTCAGTTAAGTCACCGTCCCTAGTTCTTCCTTCACTAAATGCATTGATTGCAGGTTAAACAGCTCCACCATGTGTGGTGTGCTTTTCCGTCTACATGACTTACCACTTTGGAACTGGAGCATTTCCTTCATCACAGGCTATACCTAACACAGACGAATTTTTCTTCCCATAATTTGTTATATTTTCTACCACTGTCGTAAGACACTTTGCAAAAACTAATCATTTTGAAAACTATCAATCAGAATTTCAGAAAGTAACTCAGATGGCTTTGTAAACTATAAAGCAGGGGTTCTCAACCAGGGGGAATTTCCCCCCTCAGGTTTTCAGAGACGGGGGAAAACTGATACTAATATGGAAATAATAAAGGATTTTCAGTATTATATGCATATTATTTGGAATGCACTTTTTGAGGCAGACAATCTTGGAAAGGAGGGGGGAATGACATTCTGACATATGGTGAAAAGAGTGCATGAGGCAAACAAGGTTGAGAACCACTGCTATAAAGCTTAACCCATATGCTGGACACGTTCAGTGAAGTGCAATCTGTTAGACATGTCTTCAAAATCCACTAGATGAGGTATTAACACAAAATTCGGCCAAATAGTTTGGCCGTGACCAACCACTTTCCACGGCCGAAGTAGAAAAATTTGACAACTAGTCTTAGCGAGTCCCAGAGATAACTGATTCGAGTAAGTGACAGCAACAACGTCGTGGACCCCCCTCCTTCTTCTTCTTCTTCTTCTTCACTGTAATACATCGTAACATATTAAACTATACACACTTTGGCTTCTACATTAGATATAATTACTTTGCCTAAACTACTATTCATGTAGCCTTACCACAGTAGTAGTATAAAATCTAACC